ATTTTGTGTTCCTTCTCCGGAGTAGAAGTCCTCTTTTATGTCCTGTTTATTACTGGTCTACCTCTAGCCAAATGTCTTGAGAGAAAACTTTGTATACTCATTATATTTTTAACGTAGAAAGCCCTTTAAATGAAGGTCTATTTTGACAATGTGATACCCCAAAGTTTTTAAATTGACATTAATTTGATAATTTGGTATCGCAAAGGCCGAAGCTGAAACTTTGCTCCTTACTTTCCCCAAACTCAGAATACTGAGATTTGGTAAGAAAACTTGTTTTTCATTCACTTTTCTATGTCGATATATTTGAACAAAATCAATATTAACTTTTTTGCACTTTGGGGTATTTAATTGTCAAAACCGAACTTTAGGGTCGAAGTTAAAAAAGGGCTAAACCTAGGGTGTGGAAATGCAAATAACCCTTTTAAAATAGCCTCTCTGCATGCGAAGGTAAACTTACATACATCTGAACCTGCCTTGAGCCCACCATGGTAGGAGGCTCGTGCACCGGGCCACCTTTTTTATAAGGGGTATATAGTCTATGCCATCCTGGCGCCATAGTCAAAATATTTGAGAGCTACAAATGTTTATTGCCAATGCATCTAGGAATGGAAATGCCTAGGAAATATAGGCTTTATCTTTTCTGCTCTATGTGTAAGACATTTCTTTAAAGATGTTTACCAATTGCCACCATAAGGATATATCCTGTTATTGTTTTTGTTTGCTTGAGTTCCAAGATAAGAATCAAACACATGGAAAACTAATAACACTATCCATGCATTTTAGATCAAGGTACGAAATCCAAATGCTTGCATCCAACCATCAAATCCTTAAGTTTCGGCATCAAAGATTCATATGATCACATTACGAATCACATGCATGATAGTTCTTCCTGATCATCATTATTGTTACTGTCAAAACTGGGTCATGTTGAGACGAATTTTGCAAGTAGAAGATTATGTAGATTTAGACATAACTTTATGATAGTGGTCAAGTATAATGTCAACCTTCTGAGTTCTGAGTTTGCATCATATTCCTCTTGTAGCCATGTAGAGATTGGAGATCAAATTTCTATGATTATTTATTTATGTTTAGCTCTTATGAGCCTCTTGTTTGAATTTTGTATGGAATTCGGACAGAATAGGCATTCATATTTCTTTAGAACAAATGTTAACACTAAGCTGTTTGTTTGACTTCTTTATGAAAAATACAGAATAAGATCATTATTTTTCCGCATTTTACACTAAATTGAGATCCAAAGGTGACATTGTGTAAGATTTAAGTGACCTTGCTATCACTACTGGGTTGGAAATATTGATATATTGGACCATTTTGTATATATTCTTTTTCCGATATGTGCGTCTAGGTTCCCCTTCCATAACTGAAACCTAGACCTCAAATTTATTAAAATTTCCTCTTTTCCCAACTTTTTTTTATTCTATATGCAAGTAATAAGTATTTGAGAGGCTGTTTGCATCCTTTGGTTATTATTGCATGTACTTACTTGGTAGAGTACATTTAGGTTGAGGATATGAAGGAAAAAGGAATTGAAGTGGAGTTCGCCCCAGATGCGAAGGTATGGCTAGAATTGGTTAAGTGAACTGTGAATTATTAGCAAGTCTCAGAGTCTAACATCATTTCTTTTTGCTATTTGTATTATCCTGTCAATTACAGGCTGCATTCTTGAGGTTGTTACCCTTGCGCTCTGTGTCACGCTTTTGGGGATTTTTAATGAGTCTGGTTTGTACTACTTAATTCTTTAAGTAAAACATTCTCTACAACATCAGAAAGCATAAATCTAAGATATTTCTTTTTCAGGAAATTCCTGTTTTGCTGCGCCCTTCTGTCTACAAAGCATGGGCTCGGGCATTTCATTCAAGTACTATTTCTTTCCCTTTCCTCATCCATACAAAACTTCAAATATTGTCTAGATATATTTTTCTAGTTTATGTATTTACTCTAGCTCTTGCTGTATTGCATTTGGCATCTATTGTGAAGTTGTATTTCTAGACATGCAAAATGTGTTAGGTCAGCAGATAAGCAAATTTTCTGATAGCGTGGTAGTCCAAATTTTAGTGGGGGAAATACCAGTAATTTACTATGGCCAGTAGGTGAATTGTTTAGATGCCTCATGTTAGTGTGCTGTTTGAGCAAAGAAATTAGAGAGGAGTAAATTATGAAAACAAAAAGTATACATGCTTGGAAAGTGATCTTTACTTTAAAGTAAAATTTAAGGTAATCTGGAGTTAAAGAAACAATTAGTTGGCGGTGCGCAAAAGTAATGCATGATCCCATACACTTGTACATCCATTTCATTAAAGATGTATGATGACAAATTTTGACTAATTCTGTTTTGAGATCTTCTATTTCCTGTGCAATGCTGTCATCAGATCTATTTCTGAGAAATGCTAATCTATTGTAGATTTGGAGGAAGCTTCTCTGCCTCTGGAAAATTATGCTTCTCTGCAAGAGTTTTTCATCCGTTCACTCAAAGAAGGTTCAAGGCCAGTTGATCCAGATCCCAACTGTCTGGTAACTGGTAACTAGCTTCTGTAGATATTTTTCTGAACATATTCCAACAGAAGAAACTCTTTGGAGCAGGACATCTCTAAGACACATGAATTGTCATTAGGTCAGTCCTGTGGATGGTACGGTTTTGCGGTACGGAGAGCTTAGGGGACCAAGAGCGATGATTGAGCAAGTCAAAGGGTTTTCTTATTCAGCTTCTTCTCTTCTTGGTGTGAATTCATCCCTTCATGAGGTAGTCAATGAGGATGCACAGGAAGATTGTTCTGAACAAAGCATAACCGAAGAGTTAGCCAAACGCTCTTGGTGGAGGATATCATTAGCCTCACCTAAATTGCAGAACCCTATCTCATCACGGTACACCAGCACCATCCTATTTCTGTTGAATTTTATGCAAACCACTCTTGTCATAGTATGTGGATAACGGTCAATTGATTAGTTAGCAACTTAGCATGTACTTACTTGATTGGGTTTTTCCTTTATGTGCACTCGGAGGGAAACAAAATCATTCACTTTGTCCATAAACCAGAATTCACTAAATAAACCCTTGTGAATATCTTTCCTTAACTGCAAAGGCGTCTTTTGGGTTCAGTACAGAGATCCTCTCTTACTGACAACTGCCTAGAAATTTGGTAGCCAGTTGTAAAGTTAGCAATTCGTTTGATGGTGCTTTTTCCAATTTTGAGGCACCTTTTCTGTAGCTATCCCCACTTTCTTGGTTAGAAGCTTGAATGATTGCAATGATGGTGCTCTTCTTGATAATATACAATCTAGGAACACCCTTGATCATATGAACATGAATGGGCAGAAAAGGTTATTTTTTTGTAGAGAATATACTTCGTAATTATGGGTTTTTTTGTTGCAATGTACTCAAGAAAACTAATTTTGATTAATAAGGATGGAACCAAATATTGAGTCTAGCAGAGCAATAGGATTTCTGTTGGTTAAGTTTTGTTTTAGCAAAATTTTGCTTCTTTGTACTAGTACAAGAAAGGTCAATGATTAGGTTGTGTAAGCTTGGACATAGAACTGGATCTCATTTACGAGGCAATTTGATGTGCAACGTCTCATCCAACTGACCCTTTTTTGTAAATTCACATGTTGTACTCGTGTAATTTTTGCAGCAGCTCATACTTTTTATGATTTTGTCAATAAGTCTAACCTGTTTATCTCATCTTATAACTGTAAAATCCTTCTTCACCTGACTGCTCCTAATAGCAATAGCAATAGCTCTTGCTCTTTAATTTTCTTTTTCAGTCTGCAAGAGCTGAAATATTGTTGACTTTCATTTTGAAGCGTGTAGCAGGTTATTTAGTACTTTCTTTTGAAACCCTTCTCCACTACTGGGTTTCATTGTTGACTTTCATTTTGAAGCATGGAGATGGGTTTCATCTCCACTACTGGGATCGTGGATGTCACACTGCACTTTGTTTGTCTATATGGACTTATTTGTTCAGTGTCAAATTTTATATTCGATTAATTTCTTGGCAGCCCAAAGAAAGGTGTTTTCTACTGCGTGTTATATTTAAATCCTGGTGATTATCATCGTGTGCACTCTCCTACAGATTGGAATGTGTTTCGTCGCAGACATTTTTCAGGTACTGTGTTCGTTTCAGTGTGTGAGTATCTAAACCAATGGTAAAATGTGTTTGTAAAGGCATATAATGTGCCATATAGTAAGATAAGTGTGAGGAAATGTGATTCGTTTATGGGTGCGATCGGTCAACTTGGTGAAGAATCTGAAATGAGACTGATATTTGACGATAATATGATATATTTTCAGGTCGACTGTTCCCGGTAAATGAACGCGCTACACGAACAATTCGAAACTTATATGTTGAGAATGAAAGGGTAATTTATTTTTTCTCTGAATGAGGGAATTATGTAGAACTTTAGACTTGTATAGTGGTTTAAGCTGTTGTGCTTCTTTATTTCCCAAAAAAAGTATATCCATGTATATCTGCCTATATCCTTTTCTAATTCTATAAATGTATTCAGATGAAAGTTTTTCCGGGGAAAAAAATTACGCATTTCCTTATGTCTGTGCTGGATCTGCTAATATGCTTAGATGATTTATAAAATTTTAAATTACAATGATAAAGAAAATTCATAGTAGTTACATTTTACAGTTATCAGTCTGTTTCTTTAGCATTACTGCTTTTATCATTCTCCCCAAGGTTTTCTTGTAAATAAATTCTAGGCAATTCATATCATTATTCTTATAAATTATATCCTACAAGCAGAAAAACCATATTAAAGAACTCATTCATCTCTGATTGGAATTTTTTTTTTTATTTTATGGATATATATGATTACTTTGTATATACTAGTACCTAAATTTATCAAAAATCTTATCTGCCATCTATTCTCATGAGTTATTCACATTTTGATAGATAATCCCTCCTGTTCTATTTCTGCGGTCCGTTTCCCTTGAAATTTCCTTCAATACTTAAGATAACTATAAAAAATGGAATTCACTTTCCTTCAGAAAGTTCCTTACTCCCACAATGTTCTTATATATTAGTATAGATCTGTGCGCTATACAGATTCCATGGTAACTAAGAACTGGTTATGTTATAGGTGATTCTTGAAGGTCGATGGGGGGAAGGCTTCATGGCAATTGCAGCTGTTGGTTCTACCAATGTTGGATCTATAAAGGTTATCTTTCATCTTTTTGTTGGTGATAAGTCACATCTTTTCTGTGATTTCTTTATTCATTGCATATGATGTGTGGAAGTAATATCTTGCACTATATAGTATCTTGAACGTTATCTGACATTACATTACGAGCCCTGGGATTATTGGTTGTACTTTTGTTTATTATTATCTCTATTATCATGTTACGTATAATAATTCAATATACGAGTACATGCACATATGTATGAATCTATGAGCATGGGTTGTGTGTACATGCACCCCTGACCCCTTACGAACAGACTTTAAAAATCTTAGTAAGACCTCCATGATCGACCACACTCTTGATCACTCATTTCGTCCATTCATTGATTCATCTACACACCTTGTTTTATCTATAAGGACGAGTCTCAAAGATGGAGATCAAGGTGATCTGTAACCTTTTACTTTGCCGGAGTAAATATGTTCATGAAGATGAATGGAGCGGATTATTCATTGGATGATCCACCATGAAGTTCCTATTTAGTTTATTATGAGGTTATTTCCTAAAGGATCAAGTCCATGTGTTCTTGCTTTTTCTTGTGTGCGTGCGCATGTATTATGAGGTTATTTCCTAAAGGATCAAGTCCATGTGTTTTTGTTTTTTTCTTTGTGTGCGCGCGCGCGCGTGAAATACATTAGCCTATGAGGTGGTAGCTCATTTTGCTAATGAGCTACCCAGATGCACATGTGATGAGGCCCGCCTTGCTGGTAGCAACAAATGGGTGATTCTCACCGTCCTTCATTCTCAACAGCTCATTTAACTAAAGGAGCCGCCACCGCACACCCATCAAACTCGTATATGTATTTATGTATGAAATGCCAAGAATTTGGACTTTCAGAATGACAGCTAGTTCTCATTATTTAAGGAAGAAAATGGAGATGTCTGATGAATGGACAAGGAGCAAACCTCCTGGCTTAAGCTATATACTTAACCGGATAATTTATTCTGTCAAGGATTACACTCAGTTATTTACATAATATCATGATAGTTATGGCACTATATCCTTTGTGTTATATTTGTTTACTAATGCTACCACTTCCTAACATTCTATATTAGATTATTAGAACTTGATAAGTTGGATTTTTATTGACATCTTTGGTGCACATGCCCTTATCAGGTTTTTACTGAACCCGAGTTGAGGACAAACAGGCCAAAGTGGAGGCTGCTAAGCTCTGATCCTCCCAATGAGAAAATATATGAACCTGAAGGAATTGGCATTATGCTAAAGAAGGGCGATGAGGTTTCATATACTTCAACTTGACTTGTTTCTATATATCCAGTTCAATTTCTGATGCTGGTATGCCTCGTTTAGGTAGCAGTGTTCAATATGGGCTCCACAGTTGTTCTTGTGTTTGAAGCACCGATTTCTGAATCACGAGGGGAAAACGACCCTGCTTCAGAGTTCAAATTTTGCATCAGATACGGAGAGAGAGTGAGAATGGGGCAAGCCATAGGTAGGCGGGTTGGTTCTTAAGTAGCAGTGAGAATTCTCCCTGGTCATAGCGAAGGCCGAACTTTATAGTGTTGCGATATCGGCGAAATTGATTCCTGTCCCTTGGGGAAATTGAATCCTTTCCCTTGTTGGTATCCTCGGTGATGCTTTTGGGTTTGGTCTCTTTCGGGTGAGTATGGTCACCAATATTTATCATGTTTTGGGCGCCTTTCCAATATTCACGTGAGAAATGTACAAGTCTCGTTATGTAGCGTGTAACCCTCAAATTAATTTCTAGGCTATTGCGGTTTTCTAGTGAGTTAAATTCCTCCATTTTCCTACGTTTTGGTGTTGAGATGACTAGTTTCACTTTACTATTTCTCCATGGGTTTGTTTCTTGGTGATGTGTGGTATTTTGCTTCGCTTTCTGCATCTTGAAAATGTGGATTCGGATACTCCGTAGTTAGGTGGTAATTATGGAGTGTCCCGTTACACCAATCATTACCATCTATTATTTTAATATTTTAATTTCAAGCGCCGAAAGAAAGCTACGTAATATTATCATGAGAACCACATTTATCTTAGCCCTTGAAGTTGGGAATAGAGGATAAGGATTAAGGATTAAAGTAATTGGACGCATTCTAATTATCGCTTAATTGGATATGAAGGCGGTAAATTTTTAATGGTGTGGGAACTAAAAAGATTATACTCTTGACACGGAGAGACTTCAATACTACTAATGAAATCTGATAAACTTATTTAAATAACATGTATTTTAGAAAATTTACTTTGAAATCCTTAAGGTCGGGAGACTAATATCAGAAATACCCTATTAAAATCTTAAATTCATTTCTTAGCAATTTTTTAAATGAGGATCCTCCACAGATTGGAAAACCCCACTAAATTAATCAGCTGAAATCAACATTCAGAAAAACTAAATTATTTATTTTAGAGCAATTCCCTTGCAATCCAATTCTACAAAAGAATATGAATCCCAACATCATTCGCGAACTAGATTCCCATTAAGATCGCAATAACAATTAAAATAGGAGTTCTAGTTTCGTACCTCAATTTGTCACGTCTCCGCACGTTTGCAATAGCATAGGTAGGTCTAATTATTTTATATTTAGCTGAAAAGGGGAAATTCAATATTATTATTATGATGATTAAGCTGACACGTAAAGCCTCTCTTAAGCTAACCGCCTGTAGATTTCACCCAACCTTTAAGGGGCAGTTTGGTTGTTGTTGGTAAAGTTGTGTATTTATGACACAACTTGGAAAGTTGTTATCCACCTCATCAATTTCACTGAGCAACTTTTCTTTGTTTTTTTTATTCCATTGGAATCATAAATTGTTTGTTTAGTTTGTAAAATATAACTTCAATTGCTTGTTTGGAAAATATAAAAAGTGGTTATTATGTGGTCTCTACTCAAATGATTCCATTGGGTAGTCCCTCACTCCTGACATATATGTCAGTTTTCCTTCAAAATCAGACTATTTTGAAGGGATTGTGAATTTATGCCACATCAGCATAGTAAATCATTTTATACTGTTTTCACAACTACAAACAAACAATTTAAAAAAAAAAACTGATATTAGGACCCATTTTTTTACACTTTCCACCCTTTTACTTAGAAAAAAGTTACAACCAAACAGACTTTTGAACTCCGGAGCGTTGAGCGCAGAATCGAACCACGATCCCGTAGCCATGGCTTCTTATCGAAAGAGTACCCTCTCGCTCTCTGTAAAATTCGCCCTCAGGGCCTTCAGCTCCTCAACATGCTCCTCAAACCCTAACAGTCCCATCCTTGGGATCCACGTCTTCCGCTGTCCCGTACCGAATCTCATCCCTTTCTTCAACAATTCCACACACATTTTGATTTGATGTTGATTTCGTCAAGAATTGATTATTTTTATTTTTATTTTTATTTGTTTCAGGACGTGGTCGGGATCATGGCGAAGCTCTCGGAGTGCATCGCTCAGAGAGGAGCAAACTTGCACAGCGTCGACGTCTTCGTCCCCGAGAACAAGCACGTCTTCTACTCGAGGAGGTTCTGGTTCCTGAGCTTCGTCTTGTTTCAAATCAACTAGTGCCAGCGTCTAGGGTTTTGTCATGTGAAATCGTTTTTATGAAAAGAGAGGCGACTGCTATATATATATTTTTTGATGGTATCGGAGAATTTCGGACCTCATCGCGCCACTTTGGAATTTTGATGCAACGGAAGGGACTTTAAAATGTCATCATTACCGAGTTAAAACCTATGTTTGTGGTTATTAATCTACCAATACTGGCACCGTTGTTTTTTTTTAAAATAGAAAAATCAACCTGAACATATAGGAAATTATGAAATGATGATTTAATAAAGATATGCCTACTGTAGAAAAATTAGCGATTATTTTGTAACCACAATAATGAGAAATGGCTAGCAACCTCATCAGATATTATGGTTTTTTCGTGTCTATGCTTGGATATGTTCACTTTTAGTGTAGGATTCTCTTTATGTTACTACAACAACGAATAATAGCTAGCAGTATAGTTTGGAACTCGAGTTTATCCACATGTGAGCAAGGTCATAGTGATGAATATGAAGCGTGTTGTGTTAGCGGGGGTGGTAAAATCTCTCCCCCGGTAACTGGAAATCGCAGCATTTTGTTTGTGCAGTCTGAAATTTTAATGCTGAAAGTATAGTGATGCAAGTTGCAGTGAATTTGCATTTGATCCTGCATACTGGCCGAGGAATATGATGGACAGTGACTTCACAAATTTATCAAGGTTCTTCAATGCAGAGAAATCTATTGTCCGGGTACCAGATCTAGACCCGAAATATAAGATTGCAGTCCTAGCTTCAAAACAGGTGTTGCCTCAGTTTTTTTTTAATGTATATACTTGAATTTATGTTCACAGTTCTGTTCAAGTTTTTGTTATTTACACATATAGGATCATTGTTTGGTGGATCTCTTGCATAGATGGCAGGAGGGTAGGCTTCCTGTGGATATAAATTGTGTAATAAGGTGATGTATATCCTGAATGCTTTTGTTTTAAAGTGAGATATCTTTCCACTGATATTGGATCCCTCATTGAAATTTTGCAGCAACCATGATAGAATTCCAAACACTCATGTGATGCGTTTCCTTGAAAGACATGGAATTCCATATCATTATTTGCCAACCACGGCACGGAATAAAAGAGAAGAGGAGATCTTAGATTTGGTTGAAGATACTGACTTCCTTGTGCTTGCAAGATATATGCAGGTAGGTCGAGCTCAACCTTAGCTTACTAATATAGCATTTGCATGCATCAAAAAGCTTGAAGTGGGTGTATGCTTTCCTATACCTTAGATTGTATGGATTATTTTATCAGAAGTTAACATTCACCTTAAATGATTGACTTTTCCCTCCCTCCCTCCCTCCCTTTTGTTTTCAAGACAAAAACATAAGTTCTGTGAGGGATTTTTATTTTCATAATTTAGAGATTAATGCTATCATGACTTGTAAGTTTGATAATCTTGACATTTTTGTTGGCACCACAGCACCCATATTTATTTCTCTAGTCAAACTACCTTCCTTGAGAATATTAACTTGAAAGGCGATGGAAGTGTTTGATTGTTCATTACTCCTTATGGGCCAAAAAGGAGAGATTAGAATCTTTGAATTATTTGTATTTATATTGCAGTTGTGTCTCCTCTCAACAAAGTTGAGAGGATATAAACATGTGAATCTAGACACCTCATGAGTCTTCGTGACACAACATATTAATAAATAGATTCTAAAACGTGAACATGGCCATCCACCAGTCCAAAAATAAAAGAGAACAAACCAACAACCCGATCCCAACAACAAAATAGCAGCCAGCACTCTTAAAAATAGAAAGAAAAGAACAAAAACCAGCAATCTGGCCCAACAAGGAAACAAAAAAAAAAAGTAAAAAAGAAAGTTACCAGCCATACATGTAAGGAAAAGGCTCTCCTTTAGAGTTTACAAGCCTTAACATCTGAGCAAGAAGATGGATACTCCCAGGGGATACATCGGAATATGATACTATACTATATTGCACTACTTACTATATTGTACTAATGCTGTTCAATTAGTAAAGGAACTTACAGATGGACAATATTAGAGTTTCCTCTATATTATTCCCCAGATGCGGAGTTACTGTATAAGAAGTGTTAGGGTTCTATGCTTGTCATGAAAAGTAACCATTCTGTCCAACTGTCAATCCGTTCAATCTTTTTTGAGGACTTCGCTTTTAACTAGTTTCTAATAAAGAAATATACAAGATTACATGACGATTCGAGGGATGCAAAATCTAGGACTATATTCTAATACAAATATGTACAATAACGGAATTCAAATTGAATTGCAGGATTACAAATTATAACTGCTGAATACGAGACAAGTATTATGCCGAATGTCTTATATGTGACATCTATGTCTTTAAAATAGAATTACCCTACTTTGCCTTCATAATAGATAGCCATTTCTAGTATTTTGTATTCCATCACATTATTCTCAAAGATTAAGAACACAAAATGAAAAAGCTTTAGAATATATATAAAATTAAGAGATTATCAGTATGTTACAAATATTATTTTTCTCCTTTGAAGTGTTGTTTACTTTGCCTCTATTCTCTTGGTGTTCTTTTGATCCTCTTGCAATTGGCCCCCACTTTAGGAAGTTTGTGTTGAGTATCAACCTGTGCAAGCAAGATAGAGAAAAAAAGATTTGGAGAAAAAAAGAATTAAACCATTTAAAAAAATAAAGAGAAAAAAATCATGTATTACCTTCAGAAAGTTTGTGTCGAGCATCAACCTATGCAAGCAAGAGAAAAATTAAGAATAGTTGGAAATTAGAATTAATCCATTTAAAAATTAAAGAAAAAAAAATCGTTAATTACCTTTTGAGGAAGAATGTATGATGGGTAAGATGGGATCAAACTCTGTGCCTCTGAGCCATAAAGGTCACAAAGAATCAGAGTATGGATCCCAAGAACCCATGTTGAGATGGATTCCATTAGCCCCTTTGAGACTCTTCCCTCTATGCTAAATCATTCCATTAGTCCTGATTTATATAGGCATTCTTGCAGGCTATTATAGGTAAAATCTATTGGAATCTTGGTTCGTTTGTATCTGTGAAAATACGGATAAGGTTCAATGACCCATATCTCTTCTTTAATTCATTTTTTATATAGTTTAGATATTAGATTATGCACCTGTAAAGATGCATGAAAATTAGATTTGTCTCAGATTTGGTTGGGATAAAGAGAGAATGCTTTTCAAACATGCATGAACATGTACCCTAATTTATCAGAAAGACCACCATTACCTCTGTAAAGATATTCTAACCGCAAAAACATTAGTTCCTCTCTATTTTTGTAGTCTCGTATTAGATAACTTGTGAAAATTTACATGATTTCATTTGTTTATCAAGAACAATCGACCTTTTCATATGCTATTTCCCAGTGACCTTCAGGATGATTTCTTTCTAATCATAATGCTTTAGAAAAACTTACTGCTTTACGTTTAATTAATCTTTGATTAGACACTAAGCTAATTAGCTTCTAAGCCCTAAATTAAGCGCACTTGGACCATGGAGCATTGGACAAGTGCTAACATGTATCTATAATAAGCTTTCCTGTACTTCCATGTCTTTAATTTCAAATCTCTTTTTTTAATTGTTACTATTAACTTTCAACCAGTATACTTTGTTATAGTCTTTAGACAAGTGTTAAGGAGTTTTTACCTCTGCATTTTCGTATCATTAGTCGTCTTGTTCTGGAATTAAGTAGTTCTACCTCTGCCATTTACTTTATTTTTCTATTTATTAAATTCATTAGTCATGACTCGTGGGTTTTTCCTAATACTCAATTACTCAGAATCATGGTCATATATTGATAGACATGAATTGTGTTATATATCCTGAACTCTGATTAACTGGTTAGTTTATGCATGTTCATGGACGACTGAATTTGAGCACCGATTTGAGTAGCAAATATACTTTTTTTTTTTCAAAATGCCACTATTTCTTCTTATATGAGTAGCAAATATGCTTCTTCAAAATGCCATCCTATCTAATTGAGTTATCAATATGTTATCAGACATGAAAAGATTAAAGGTCTGTTCTTATATTTATAAATAGATGAAAATATTTTCCTTTGTCATGACTTATTTATGAACTAATACACACGCACTGGAATCAGATTTAACTGAGCACACACGCAATGGAATCAGAATTGGTTGAGCACACTCACTTCAATCAGATTTGGTTAAACACACGAGGGAGGGGGGCTAACATGTATGTCAGATGTGACCGTCATGATACAACTTCATGATGGAAGTCATTCATGTTACGAATCTTGTTAACCATGGACAAGTCAATTTATGTATTTGTGATTGTTGTTTATCTCGAAATCTCCTTATAAAATTTTTTGGGTCCTTGTTGTTTGATTATCAACAAGAAGGCTACGTGGCCACCCATACAGTTGATCTATGCTTCAATGGTGTCAAGTACACAAGGAAGCTAACAATATGACAGCTATAAAGAAGCGGTGCTTTATTCTTTTAGTCAAAACGTTGTTTACGTATTTCATAAAGGCATTGTTTTATTTCATCTACAGGAAACATTTGTTTTCTTGGTTGACAACTTTAAAATCTATGGAATTCAAATGATGCAATATTTTTAATTGTTTTAGGCTACTATCCTACTGGTACTCTGACTGATGTTGACATATAAATCAAGTTATCAGTTTATTATTTCAACCAAGGTTATAGAAGCGCCTAGGCGGGAGCCTAGGTAGGGTTTAGGTGGTTGTACTTTTTTATTTTTTAATTACAATAATTGATAATAAATGCTAATGTTGTAGAAAGCTTAGGTGCCGGATTAGTGCCTAGGTGGATTTCTTTCTTCGTTTGAGTGGTGATAGAGGAGGTTTTGCTAAAGGTTGCAAGAGGTAGAGGAGGTGTTGATAGTTGGTGGCTGGATGAGTTTGGAGAATGTGAAGGCTACAACAGTGAAAATCATGATCAAGGCCTAAAGAGTGCGGTCCTAGGCAGACCACGCTCCCCTAAACTCTCTTAAAATCTAGGTGGGGATTCTAGGTACCGTCTAGGCACTAGGCGCTAGGCACGCCGCCTAGGTACCACCTAGGCATAGGCGGGCTAAGCAGAGGATTTTTAAAACATTGATTTTAGCCTAGTCCCTGTCTGTTGAGTGGCTTTATACATCAGGTATACCGTATATCAACAAACAAGTAAAGGAAGATGCAGTACCAAATAAGATGTCAATTTCTATCAATATGCTTTTGACTACATTTGAAAATTCATGCTACTTTCTTTTACTTTTTCCCCAATAATGGGATTCAAGTAAATATTAATTCACTGAAGTATTGATATGAGAGATCATCTAATACGTGGCCTAGATATTATAACTTAGGTTATGTTGCGCCATTTGATGATAAATTCCTAATGACGTGAAACCAGCATTAGATTGTTGATAAGTAGGGTTGCACTACATAATCAGCAGCTGCATAAAACTTCGAGTGATGAAGAGATATGGAAGAGAGGGGTGAATAAGTGCTGACCATGAGTCTATGAAGGTATACGACCAATCTAAAAAAAACATGTAATAACATGAATTTATGACCAAGAAATTGTCTTTGATAGAAACGAAGTGTCTGAAATGACCTCGTGAAGCTTAAACAATTCAAACTTCTAAGGGACCAATTCTCTTTTATACAATACTAAAACTCTTTTAACTTTAAAGATGTCATTGCGAAGAAAGGAAAGGCGAAAAAGGAGAGGCAACAATGGTATTTCAGAAGATAATGGATTAAATAAGCCTCTGTAAGAATATCCAGGCTTAAAAATGCTTTCATATTGTTATTTGATAGTTAACATGTAACGAGAGTTAGCAAGTCCTTTTCGTTTGCTTTATGTGCTTTTTTATTTAACTGTCTTTAAAAATAATTCTGTCGACTAAATTATTACGAACAACAATTTCGGGTCCAATGACTCTTGTCATATTTGCTAAACTGCATGTACGAACCTAGATGACCTAAGAGACCAAAGTTTTGTGCATAAAGGGAGCAAAACTTGACATACTTGCCATAAAGTGTGTTTGATTCTACTGCCATCTTACCTGCACTATTTGGCAATTATACAAATGTGATGTTTTTACTTGGGGAACTAAATCTCGGACTAATTTAGTTTGGTATCTGAAAATTAGAGCTAACCTGGCTGGAACATTTTACATAATTT